CCTTTATCACCAGGTCTGACAGGGTGCTAAATCAAGGGTACTTTGCACAATACTTATCCAGTGATAAAGCTGTTCTCTACTTTTCTCCCTTTATTAAACAGGTACATTCCCATTACTTTCTGTGTACTTATCACCAGGATGAGAAGAGGTGAGATATTTCAGTTCCTACCTGACTTATCACGGGTTATTAAACAGCATTTTCTAGACTTTTCACTTTGCTAAGGTGAGAAAAGCCTTCTCACTGCTTATCACACTCTTTCACAGTTTATTAAACGTACACCTATGTCCGGATCATGTCCAGACCAAACAGTTTGTTCCCGGACCAAAAAAGCATCCCAATGTATCCCTATGGTATTTCTGGGCTCTGTTCACACAAGTGCAGTCCGTTTTGGTCCAGACAAAAAAACAATACAGCTCATGCCAAGCTTGCTCCTGTGATGGACTACAATCGCAATAGAAACTAATAGTCCATCACTGGAGCCTTTTTTTTATTTTTATCCGATTAACCGATTAATCGCACGTAATAATCGGCCAACTAATCGATTATGAAAATAATCGTTAGCTGCAGCCCTAACAGCTTCACTCATTTTCTCTGGTCTGGAATGCACTGCAACGCATGGAAACGCATGCAAATGCACTGGACTGCACCTGAAAGCCCATTTTAAGGTTAAAAAAAAAACCACCCTGCAACGCAGCAAAATTGCAGTAAAATTGCGGCAAAAACGCACTGCATTTGCATCTCTGCTCCAGATCTGGTCCAGACATGGTATGAACATAGTCTAAAAACACAAGGAGGGTATTTATTAAGGTCAGGTTCACACGTGGTTTCCCGCCACAATTCCGTCCGTGCAATCTCACACGATTGCGGCTGAAATACATGTACCTTTTTGAAACGATTGCTGTGTGGATGTAATCAATGGGGCCGCGCAGCAAACACTGTGTGCAATCGCAGGTTTATGTGACCTTAAAGTGGACCTGCACCATCCTATCCATAGACAAGGAAGGTGCTATCTTAGCTTCTATTTGGATTACAGTTGCCATGGTGCTGCACATGTGATCAGCTATAACACCAGCCATTTGAGGGCTTGAAAATACATGGCAACCACAACAGTTATTACCAGAGGCATTCCCTGAAAGTAACTGTTTTTGGAGACAGTCATATTAGTGGTCTAGTTCCGCTGTAAAAACAATGGCAAATTAGTCACACGGTTATTGTCAGGTTAACCAATGCATACTGACGCTGCTAAATTTGGTCTTGGCATCTAGGCTTTAAGCTGACCATACATACAGCAAATGTCATCAGGAACCAGATGAAATTCCCTGCATTGGTGGTGCTGTCAGCCTGAGTCCTGAGTCGGTCAGAATTCTCAGCCAAACAGTGACTGCAGCCAGTCAGCAGTCACCATTTGGGTATTTTTTACAACTGTCAGAATACAACAGCCACAGTGGGAGATTCATCCATCTAAGCTGCACGAAAAAAATCTACTAGTCTATAGTCAGCTTTAATGACTTCTGATTATAAAAGGCTTAATCTCTATGGCCAAGCACAGCACATGTACAATCCAGTGGCGGAACTACTAGGTAAGGGTAAATAATTCATTAAAATAATAATTATTTGTAGCCTAATGATGTATAAAGTACTGTTGCAGAATGGCACCCTCTATAGAGGACTACAAATCTCAGCAGTACTTTATACAGAAATGCTATTGTTATATAAAGTAGTTGCTGGGATGTGTAGTCCTCTATAGCCTGTGCCATTCTGCATTGCTGTAAATATATCAGCCGCCAAAAGATATCGGCCGGAAATGGCACTTTTGGCTAAATGCTAAAAGTACAATTTTTCTGCTGATACAGCATCGCATCCGTGCTTCCTTTCCTCCCCGCTGGGCGCTGCTCTGTGTCCCAGCGGGGAGGAGAGAAAGTGACAGCCGGCCGAGCACTGCGGGAGGAGAGCGCTGTGTTTGTGGGGTTTTTTTGGGGGGGGCCCAAAAAAAAATCTTACACCAGGGCCCTTTGTTCCTTAGCTCCGCCACTGGTACAATCACAGTGAATTGCCAAATGCAGAGTACTAGGTATAAAAGGATGCAAACACTGCACAGCCTTGGGCAGACTATGACAGTAAAAGGGTACATTTGTCTGCAACCAAGCTCACTCAGTGTGTTTACAGGCTTGATCTAAAGGGCACGCTTGTGAGATACAAGGATTTATTCAGAACTACAATATATCTCAAAGCATGAAAGCGCACCAATCATTTCAATTCTATGTACGGCAAATCATTTTTTCGTTTTGCATTGAGTGGTCACGTTTTTGATGCTATCTGTGTCCCCACTGGGGAGACTCTCCCTCTCTGATGGAGTTGTTACCATAGGTGATGGTAAATGACTCAGTGGGGACTTGTGCCTGTGACAATTCTATAAGTTTGGAATTCCCCTGACTGTGGAAATGTCTTCTCATTTCCTGTTACACTTCCAGACAATGAAGTGACGGTAAATCTCCCCGGTGAGACACAAAAAATCTAATAGGGATTCACCCCCCTGCACTCTATTCAAAACAAAACAAAACTTTGGGCTTGACATACACTGTAAGTTACCCATGAGTGGGTTTGGTGGCCTCCTGTGTAGTACAGTGGTACCTCGGTTCACGCACTTAATTCGTTCCATGATTCTGGTCGCAAACCGATTTGGTCGTGAACCAAATCAAACTGTGATCAGACCGTGATCTCGACTAGAGGAAGCCACGACCAGTGTCAGAGCAAGGAAGATGGCTGCTGTTGTGTTCGTCACCCAATGCGGAGTTTCGCGAATGGAAGCAAGATTTAGCCGAACTTCCTGTTCGCGAACCGAGGTACCACTTTATTCTGATTCCGTTGAGGAGACCCAGAAAACCATCTACACGTTTAAATGTTTGTAAATCATCTTTTAGAACAATTGGACTTGTTTTACAGGAAGGAAAACGTTTCTCCAGCACAGATGAAATCTCTTTTGAGCCGAGTAATGTTGTCTTATCTCCTCTGGAAACATTTAGGCAATCAGCAGAAACCTCGAATGAAATCCATACATTATAGCCGTTTTACCTGCCAAAGGATTTGGGTTTCACTCTGTCCAGTTCTGAGATTTTCCTTGCACAGCACAGCCCTGTCTGACAGGGAACATGACCTGATTTTCTCTGCTGCAGTCAGGTAACATTTACAGGTCTTGTCCCTCTCCAGCCTGTGATTGGACAGGATGGAGAAGCAGCAAACTATCAGGCTCACCTCTCTGTTACTCTATTTTTCTATCAGCATTGTCCTTGTTAGCACATGAGCAGCACAACTGACTGGATCCTTGCGCTGCTTCTCCCTCTCCCCGTCTGAGCTCTGCTGTACATGGATTGTGTGAGGCTAATACCAAGCCGAATTTAAGTACTTACACTGCGTGCATTCAAATAAATACATTAAGGTCCCATTCTCACTTTTCCATTCTGGTGCAATGCATTACGGCATGCAAAAATCGACAGGCAGCAGTTTTCTAACTCGGTGCAGCACAGAACAGAAGTGTAAATGGGCCCTTAATGGTGTATTCATGAATAAAGAGCTGCATACATTTGTGTCTTATACCTGTGTGGAGTTCTGTGTGCCAGAAATGCTACATGAACCTTTTTTTGGTGCATTTTGGTGCTGCGGGCAACGTGTTCAATTAAATGGACTACCCTAACATAACGCACTTTAACAAGTGCACAAGAATGGAGTGCAACAGTGTATATGAGCCCTCAATGGTTAGCAGAGATGGGATGGTTACTATCTTTTGGGTAGCAGGTAGAAGAGCAATCTGAGGGTATAAAGGAGTAATACAGAACGCACAAGACTGAACAGCTTACATCATATTGGGGTAGGATAGAGGGATACATGTGACAGAAGAGCTTACAATCCACATGTGCTGAACTGTGGGGTATTGAAGACAGACACACTTACATGATATCAGGCTATGACTGACGGATACATGTGACAGAAGAGCTTACAATCCACATGTGCTGAACTGTGGGGTATTGAAGACAGACACACTTACATGATATCAGGCTATGACTGACGGATACATGTGACAGAAGAGCTTACAATCCACATGTGCTGAACTGTGGGGTATTGAAGACAGACACACTTACATGATATCAGGCTATGACTGACGGATACATGTGACAGAAGAGCTTACAATCCACATGTGCTGAACTGTGGGGTATTGAAGACAGACACACTTACATGATATCAGGCTATGACTGACGGATACATGTGACAGAAGAGCTTACAATCCACTTGGGATGAACTGAGGAGTATAGAAGTCAGAATAGGTTACATGATATCAGGGTATGACTGACGGATACATGTGACAGAAGAGCTTACAATCCACTTGGGATGAACTGTGGGGTATAGAAGACAGACACGCTTACATGATATCAGGGCATGACTGACGGATACATGTGACAGAAGAGCTTACAATCCACTTGGGATGAACTGAGGAGTATAGAAGTCAGAATAGCTTACATGATATCAGAGTATGACTGACGGGTACATGTGACAGAAGAGCTTACAATCCACTTGGGATGAACTGAGGAGTATAGAAGTCAGAATAGGTTACATGATATTAGGGTATGACTGACGGGTACATGTGACAGAAGAGCTTACAGTCTATTACAAAGAGTATGGATCTGTGGGCACAGGAGGCATGGCAATGATTTCAGCCCAGAGCCCTCCTGTGCCCATACTGGCATGCTTTCCCACTGTAAACAAGGTAGGGCTACCCCAGCTGCTCTTCTAGCAGTGTACAGGCGTTTGTATGATGAGATCACACTCACAGACACTTGTACAGAGAACGTCGTTCTTATTTCTCGATGGTCTGTACATAAACACAGACACGTCTATACACGTCGGTTCAGCTCCCTTCACTTCCACACAGCTATCCCGACTCTCCATGTTCTTACTTCGAATTCCCACTGAGCTCCTGAACTTGTCAAACTGAAAGTTAACTTACCAATTAGAGAACTGCTCTCATCCTCCAAACTTCAGTCACAGGCAGGCCGGGCTCTCACTGTCCTCCACAGGCTCTCTTCACCCCAGGGACTGAAGCACACACAGCGATCGGTAACGGCTACAACTGGCAGAAATTATTTCTATAATAATAACATCGCGTCTGAATTCCAGGCACTTTCCAGAGTCCGCAAAACTCTTGTGAAAAGGGACACCCTCCAAATGCGCCTATCAGCTGAGACAGCCCGGACTTTTTCTTCTTCCCCTGCACCACCGGGCGGGGCTATGATCCTTAAATGTCACATTGTTGCAGCGGCCTAACCAGTCCAACATGTATCAGAGCAACGAGCGGCGGCGGCAGGGGTGGCCAAGTAGCAGCTCTGACTTCCGTGTATCCTGGGAGCTAGCCCGCTGTGGATACGGGACTGGGAGCTGGAGGAGTAGACGGGACACAGGCCTTGTGTCTGGGCACCGAGAGGAATCGTGTGGCAATAAATGTAGGAATAATTAGGCGCCTCAGGACTGGGCACACCACCTCTCATTAGTGTGGAGTGCCAGCACCGGGATTTTCCACTTTTTTTTTTTTTTTTTACCTCAGAGGAACCCTTGAAATAGTTTTCAGGTCTCGGGGAACCCCAGCTAATGAGCAGAACTGCACAAATGATCTTTTATGAAGACTTACATTGGTCCAGTTCGGCTCAATATGCAGAAGGCAGACAGACACACTGGTCACATTTTCACCCATTCCTGCTAACTTAGTTGAGGTTTAACCAGTTTGCAGCCCCATTGGGACCCCCTTTCCATAATAGTAAATGTTTCAATCAAATGTTGTCAAAGGAGCAGGTTCGCACATGCTCAGCCAAGCAGTAACTGCAGCCAATCAGCTGGAAGAATCGTGTGAAATAAGTTTAGGAATATTTAGGCACCCAGGGCCGGTGCTATCACAGAGATTTTCCACTTTTTTTTTTTTTTTTTTACCTCAGAGGAACCCTTGAAATAGTTTTCAGGTCTCGGGGAACCCCAGCTAATGAGCAGAACTGCACAAATGATCTTTTATGAAGACTTACATTGGTCCAGTTCGGCTCAATATGCAGAAGGCAGACAGACACACTGGTCACATTTTCACCCATTCCTGCTAACTTAGTTGAGGTTTAACCAGTTTGCAGCCCCATTGGGACCCCCTTTCCATAATAGTAAATGTTTCAATCAAATGTTGTCAAAGGAGCAGGTTCGCACATGCTCAGCCAAGCAGTAACTGCAGCCAATCAGCTGGAAGAATCGTGTGAAATAAGTTTAGGAATATTTAGGCATGCATTTTGACAAGTACAAGTACTTGTCAAAATGCCCTGTTTTTTGCCCTGAGGCGGCCGCCTGACTTGCCTTGCGGTAGCGCCGGGCCTGTAGGCACCTCAGGACTGGGCCTGTCATCAGTGTAGAGTGCTAACATCAACCTTTTTTTTTACTTCAGAGGAACCCATAACATAGTTTTCAGGTCTCAGGCAGCCCATGCTAATGAGCAGAACTCCACAAATTATGTATTATGGAGACTTAAGGTGCCCATACACCTTAAGTCTCCATAATACCTTAGACTTTTGTCTTGCGATGGTCGTATGCTTCTTGAAAGCCCGTACAATCTGCCCACCTTGGACGGGCAGATCGTACTTGCGGGGCTATGATCCTTAAATGTCATAGCCCCGCAATGCAGAGCGGGGCTATGATCCTTAAATGTCATAGCCCGGCAATGCAGAACGGGCAGTGTGCGCGTGCGCACACCGGCCCGTTCCGCAGCTATCGGGCGAGCAGGCTAGAAACCCGCCAAGAATCGTACGATTCTCGGCGGGTTTTCGAACATGTTGGCTCGACAAAAGACGTGCGACCGTACAGTAGAAACGGTCGCACGTCTTAGTTTACACTGCTCGATTCTTGTACGATCGCGGGATTTCGCCCGATTCTCGTACGAGAATCGAGCAGTGTATGGGCACCTTTACATTGGTCCAGCTTGGCTCAATATAAGGCCTGCCATACACTGGTTGAATTGAGGCCCAGTCCTGCTGATTTATTTGCGATTTGACCAGTGTGGCCCTATCGGGACCCCAGTTCAACAAAAGTCAATTTGTTAAGGCTTGTTCACACCAGGAGCTGCGCTCAACCTCCCAGCTGCTGGTGTGCGTATGCCCAGACAGTGCTGATGCACTCAATCCAGATGCATCACATTTTCTTTTTTTGTTAGAACTTAAATGAAATGTCACAAGTGACATTTCATTAAGTTCTATAGGCACACCGCAGTGCAATGCCATCTCACTTTAAAGGAGAACTATGAGGTGAGTGCTTTTCACTCACCTCATAGTTCTAGCCGACCTGTGACAATGAGACTGTCACAGGTCGGCTCTGTAGATCGGGAAGTGAGCGAACACATATCGGCGTTCGCTCACCTCTCCATCCTGTCACGGCTTTCTGCCGTGACAGGGGAGGGGCTGGATTCCCCGCTCCGCCAGCGCTGACTGGCGGAACGGACGGGGTGGGTACAGCTGGCTCTGCTTCTAGATAGGCAGAGCCAGCTGTCAGTCACGCAGCTGGGCGGATCCCGGCATAATTGTCGGGATCCGCTTCAGCTGCGGCGTCTCAGTATACCGCGAGCTTCTGCTCGCGGTATACTGAGCTTAGGGTGACGGGAGGACGCTAGTTTGTGTCCTCCCGTTACCCTAAGGAGAACTATGGGGAAAATACTTAACCCCATAGTTCTCCTTTAAAAAAAAAAAAGTTCTGTATGCTGTATTTTATTTAAGCGCACAGCACTAAAATGCAGTGGTGTGAACTGTGCCGGCGACAAGGCAAATTGTGTTCAGACATAGTCCAGTGCAGCCCAAACACATCGGGTGTAAACAGGCCCTCAATCGAATTTAGCTGAAGGAGCAGGTCCACAAGTTCTCAACCAAACAGTAACTCAGGTGTAAATGAGTTTAGCAATATTTAGGCACCTCAGCACTGGACACACCACCTGACATCAGTGTGCAGTGCCAAAATCAGCCTTTTCCAACCTTTTTAGCTTTAAAACCCTTGAAATAGTTTTCAGGTCTCGGGGGAACCCATGCTAATGAGTGGAAGTCCACAAATGATCTTTTATGGATACTTGCTTTGGTCTAGCTTAGCTCATTATAAAGCCAGCCATACCCTTGTTGAATTTTGGCCCAGTCCTGCTGACTCTTTCGAGATTTGACCAGCACCCCATCAGGACCTGTTTGGCCAAAGCCAATTTTTCAGTTTTGATTGAAGGAGCAGATCCACCAGTTCTCGACTGCAGCCAGTCAGCTGAAATGACTGTTGAGGTAATCTGACAGCAGGAAGTGCCGGCTGTCAGAATACAATAGACTGGGGGTTGGGGCTCGGGAATCCAGAGATTTTTCTCTTTCTTGAAAAGACTCACAGGGGGGAATATTTATCAAACTAGAGCAGAAAGCATCTGGAGCAGTTGCCAGTGGCAACCAATTAGATTCTCTCTTAAGTTTGTTCAGTTAAGATTTGAAAATGAAAGAGAGAAGCTGATTGGTTGCCATGCACAGCTGCTCCAGATTTTGTTTGCTCCAATTTTGATAAATTCCCCTCACAGTGTCTGGCCAGCTTAAAGAACTCCAGGCAAATAAACTACTCACCCTTGCAGTGGGGCTACCCCCCAACTGGAAGAGTTAAGTGCTTGCTTTGTTCTAGGGGCTGGAATAAAGCAGATTTACTCACCTGATCCCAGCTTCCTCCAGGCTGCTAATCCCTGTAGCTTCTTCCTCCATGGGCCCTAGTGGTCTGAAGACCACTGACATCCTCACGTCTTATGCAGGTCCATTGGCCTGCATTAGACGTGAGGACGACAAGGGACATTCCATAGCCAGAGCGAAGTGGGAGAGGTGAATGCTGATTGCTGCGGGAGCTGGGATAATGTAAGTAAAACAGCTTTATTTGAGTTACACAAAATGAGCACTTAACCTTTACAGTGCAGGGGTATTCTCACTGCGAGGGTACGTTTTTTTGTTTGCCTGGAGTTCTTCTTTAAGTTTCCATATCTGATCTGTGAAGTGGCGCCAGGGATGGTAAAAATCACTTAGTCAGCGCTACATATAGCCAGTGCTGGTCCCCTCTGGCTGCTACTCCTGTGCATCCCCTAAGCACACTGAGCGCATGCCGTCACTTGCTAGACACCCCCGCCATTCAGAGGATGTCTTTCATTTTTGCATACAAGGCATTCTCTGATTGGATGAAGTGGAGATCATGACGTTATCCACCCCTCCTCTCCACCTCGTCCAATCAGAGAATGCCTTTTATATATTGAAAAAAATTCAAGGCTTTCTCTGAATGGCATTGGTGCTTAGCAAGTGACTCCCTGTGCTCAGTGTGCAGAGGGGAAGCACTGGACCTGCAGCTGAAGGAGGCCAGCTCTGCCTGTATGTAGCGCTGACTAATAAAGTGATCTCTAGCAGCTCTCCGGAGATCAGATATGGACACTTACGTTGAGCCAAGCTGAATTAATGTAAGTTCCATAGAAAAATCATTCCTGGAGTTCAGCTCTAATTCATTGGAGCTCAGTGGAAAGAATGCCCCCTTAAAACTAGCAATACATGTATAGATTCCTCTCATTCATAGATGAGAGACACTGCAATACACCCCTATGGGCGTTTGGATGTAAGTGGACTTACGTTCACCTATATCTGCCCATTTTTGGGTCAGTTAAGGTTCGTCGGACCGAAAGCAAACAGTTTGTGTCCAGGTTCGCTTTGTGGGTGGATATACACAGACACACGTCCATTTACATCTTGCCACCAGTAGTAATTATATGGGTCGGTTTTAGCTCCATCCCAAGATGGAGCAATAATCAGAATGAAAACGGATGTCACATATGATTAAGAAAGGGATCAGTCTAGGATGAGATGGAATGAATGACATCAGCGTGAAAGGGACCCTAGAGAAATCTGATAGATTTGCTGTTTAGCGTGGATGAAGGAATCTTGACCTCACAGCTATTGTATTCAGACAGCTGGCATCCGTGGCTGTCTGAATACCCGAACAGTGAC